TATATATATATATATATATATAGGGTCAGGTTCAAATGTTAACCAAAGTTTTTGTGTTAACTTTGTTAACCGATCTTGGCCATTCAATCTTTCAATAAACGRTTRTGATTAATCATGATAAAAACTTATTATTTTTAATTTAAAATTTCATAAAGATAAGTGAACAAAGTTGAAAAGGGTATTTAGATAAAAAAAATTATGTAACTCCAATATCATTAATTAATTGGGAGTTACAATATAAAAAATTCTATGATTTTTTTGTTAATTTATTTTTGTTAATGTAAGAACCATATGAACACAACTATAGAACACAACTATATATATGAACCATTGTGTCAAATGCAAACAACAATTTGACATATATATGAACTTGGACTGCATAGTATTTATGAACACAGTATGAACATAATAAGAAAAACTGTTATACGAAAGGAAATAAATAAAAAAACAGGTATGAACACGATATGAACAGCTTGTGAACAATAGTTCCTTCATTATAAACACATTCAGGAGCGATCATTTGTCAATTGAAGTTTTATACATGCATTGCATCCACATCGTTTAAGGTTCACCCCTTGTTTATATATGTTTTTGATCTTATATGGTTGTTCACCCCTTGTTCATATCGTCTTTACCCCTTGTTCATATCGTATAAAATATATGAACACATAACCCCAACGCTATGAACACCGGGTGCAAACATTTACACAAATATAAAGATTTGATATCAAGCTTAAAAAATAACACTTGTGTTCATATGATAGACGTAACATGAACACAATGGTTCATGATTCATAAAAGTCGGTAATATGACAATATGAAAATGGGTCGTGCATGTACTTCCATTTGAACATGTGATTTAGGTACGTATTTTAGTAATAAAAAAAAAACCTATAAATACAAGATGAATTACAAAAAACACAACACATCGTAATGAATATAATTTTGATTAAAACGAATCTAAAAAAAAATAAAAATCTATTACCAAGACATTCGCTTTGGTTAATTTCTTCAATTTCCGACCTCGAACTCCGATTGTCATTATAAACCATTTTAATCTTCTCACTGTTGTCGATCTATATTTCATTGCGTTTATCCATATTAGCTTGATTGATACCAAAAAAATTTACTACCGTGTTTTCTATGCGAATTAAAAACTGATAAAACAATAAACATGGAAGATCAAGATTAAAAAAAAATAAAAATATTAATATTATAAATGCATATTTTTTGGGATTTGATGATTTGTAACTCCCCATTAATTGTTTGGGAGTTACATATCAAATCAGTTTACTGAAATACCCTTGTAATTAAAATGTGAACATGACATAAACCTACAAGAAGAATAGAATTTGATTGGTTGTCATGGTTTTCAAAGTTAACACAAAATTATTGGTTAACATTTGATCTCCCCCCATACATATATATATATATATATATATATATATATATATATTATCATTTACCCAATCAAAAACTCTGGGACGAAATCCATAAAATCGATTTTAATTAGAAATTCCGAATAGCCGAATTCTAAAATTTAGGGCTTTCTTAGCACAGGTGCATTTTTTCCCCATAGATTTCATCGTTTTGCTTGTTTAAATAAATTTGCATAAGGGTATCTTTTAACATTTTCGCACAAAAGGAAAAAAAAACCTAGGACCAACCCTGCAAATTCCAAAAAAAATAAAATAACAGAACTTTTCAAAAATTAAAATAGCTATAAATCCAAATTATTAACATCTTTAAACACAATCTTATTTCTTTACCAACGTGTTTTGAATTATTTAAGAATATTTATCGAATAAAATCTGTAATATCTTTCTTGCAGGATGCTTCTGAAGAATAATTTTCGTCAAGTTGCTGATATGGCACGTTTCTCCAGACAAAATCGTTCTTTACATGCTTTTACGAGACAAGACATGATTATTCAAGATACTTTGTTTTACGAGAATATAACAGAATATATTACAAAATACAATGAAATAATTGGATCATTTAACGTATTATGTGTTGTCAATAATGAAAAACCAGACATGATTGTCAAGTGTAATAAATAATTAGAAATTGAAATTTGTACAGTTGCATCGTTTGCAGTTTTTAATGAGAACGCGTTGTTGTGTTTAACTAACTCGTTAATATATTTTTTTAACGCTCAGTCATATTGTGTTTGATATGTTGATTAAACATGTTGAAATGGGGTGGACTATAGTGAACTAGACACGACTACTTGCATGTATGAATATACTACCCAAGCCATGAGTTGGGTTCACGTGAGACCAGCATGTTTTCGTGAGACCATTTTTTTACACTTGAAACTTCACAACAGAACGTTAGAAAGGTAAAAAAAACTGAACATTCATAGCAAAAACACACATTCACAACAAAAACATTGTGAAAACTATCTTCTTAGCATTTTGCTGCGAAATTTCAAGTGTAAAAAAATAGTCTTACGAAAACAGGTTGGTCTCACGTGATCCTAAGTCTCCAAGCCATATATGAAAAAATCATATAAAATAAAATATAAATACACCAATTCTTAAAATTATCACAATTTCATGGGGTTTCAAACAAAAATCCCAACAACAATAAACGTTTAATTCTTCGTATTTTCTTTTATTCGATAAACAAAGTTTTCGGGGTTGTTTGTTTACCTTTTAATAGTTCCATTAAGAGACAACCTCTGAATCGTTAAGAGGTGAATCTTGTTTGGTAAAAAAAAGTCTGCCTCTTAATGGTTCTAAAACTCTCTGAATGATTTTGTATCATAAATCTCTCTTAACCATTAAGAGCCCTACTGTTATTGTACACAATTACCAAACAATTATATTTCATTTTGCACCATATCATGAGAGTCTCTTAATTATTCTGACCGCTTAATCATTCTGCGATTGTTAGACATCCCCCTTAAACATATTATGACGTCATCATGAGATTTATAAATATACTTTTATCAAAATATTCAATAAGAAAAAAACGTGTTCAACTACCGCCTGGCGATTATAGTATTAAGTAAAATGGTGTGAATAAATAAATAAATAAATAAAATAATAAATAATTATCGAATTAAGTCCGGTGATGGTAGGTGATTGAATTCAGATAACCAAGAAGACCTTTTCATCTCCAGTGACCGACCAGGTGATCCAATACCTCAATTCAATCAATTTCGTTCCTAATTTCTTCAATTACAGTTTTGATTTCTCGATATTTATGTAACTGTTGCTGTTTTTGTGGTAGTTTATCTTGTAATTTTGGGGGTTTAAATTGCCAAATCGGTCTATTCATTTTGTGTTATTAGTTCTTGTTGCTGATTACATTTAGGGTTTATAGTTTGTGTTGTAGTATGTTTGAGAGTTCCTTGATTTTGTGGTTACTAGGCTTCTTTCAGCTTGATGAACAAGTCAACAACCATAGAAATGGTAATTGGTTATAATTTTGTTTAAGCTTCTATATAGCATAATTGATCATTGAATCAGCTTGTGTGTGGAATACATGAACGAAAATTCAATTGTCTGGTATATCAATTTTACCTACGATTAGTGAGGCATGCATATGTTAAACAATCATAGAACTGGTATTTGGTTATAATTTTGTTTAAGCTTCTATATTGTATAATTGATCATTGAATCAGCTTGTGTGTGAAATACATGAATGAATTTTTTTTTTTTGGTTCTCTGGTGTATTGATTTACATATGTTAAGCATTATTTTTCATAGTGAAACCTGCATCCGTCAAAACTCCCTCCGTGGAACCAACGGGAGGGAGTTTGACATATGCATGCCTCACTAAGAAACATAATGTTGTCGTAGGTAAAATCGATATACCAGATAATTGAATTTCCGTTCGTGTGTTCCACACACAAGCTCATTCAATGATCAATTATACTATATAGAAGCTTAACAAGATTGTAACTAATTACCATTTTTGTGGTTGTTGATTTGTTCATCAAAGCTAAAAGAAGCCTAGTAACCACAAAAATGGAACCAGACGGAGTTTGACTTCTGATGTTCAAGATTAAAATTTGAACTCATGATATATGCATTCATGAAATTTCAAGAAAAATGATATCTGCATCGGGGGTTTTACGAGATATTTTACAACTCCATATATGAATATAAAATGAAGTGTATATTATAACTAATGGTAGATTCATTGAGGTATTTGAGAGTTTGGGTAGCGTTATTTAGGGATATGACCTTAAATTATACTCATGAGAAGGTCATAAATTTAATTAAAATCTCATTTAAGGCTATATACCTAAAATTGGATGAATGGGGTATGATATGATATATATTTGTTTGCAGGTTTTGCAAGCTGAAAAATTGGGGATGATATCTAAGACTCCGATCATTTATAAAGTGTTTCTGTTAAAATGTTCTTTAGGGCTTGGAATACCGCTATAGGTGACATGGGATACGCTCTTAGTAGATTGGAGATAGACCCGGATTTTTCCGACAGTGAATCCTCTCCGGTCGGAGATGATAATAACAGTCCTCAACCTTCGTCACAGAACGATCTCGAGCATGAAGTTGCTCAGCTTACGAAGCTCGGTTCTACACCCCATGACCGGTTGCAAAGGGTTCTTCCACGGAGGCAGGAGTTTCCTGTTTCACCGGTGAAGATGTTAGCGGGTCGAGAAGGGAATTATTCCGGCAGAGGAAGGTTCTCTGCAGCAGATCGGTGTCACCTTTTAAACAAATATTTGCCTGTTAAAGGTCCTTCGATAATTGACCAATTGACTACTCGGGCTTACGTCTCGCAATTTTCAACCGATGGTTCCCTTTTTGTTGCTGCATTTCAGGTATTCTTGTTTTTTGCCTTGTCTTTGAAATCGTGATGGGTAAAAAGTTGGAGAAATTGACAAAAATAGCCATTTTGGACCTTCCAATGCACTTTACAGCCACTTTTTGAACTCACTTACAGATTTAACCAGAAATTATGCAAGTGGCATTACGGCGTAATCCACTTTTAGGATTAAAATGATGAGGAAAAATGGACATTACACAAGTTGCGTAAATGCTACTTGCTTAATGCCTACGTGGATTTTTGTAATGCCCATCTTTCTTCTTTTTTTTTTTAATCCGAAAAGTGGATTATGCAAATTGCATAATGCCATGCGTAATATCCGGCTAAATCCGTCAATGGGTTCAAAAGGTGGCTATAAAGTGATTATGGGGTCTGATCGACAATTTTAGTCAATTTTCGTAAAAAGTTGTCTTCAAGTCTGCAATCTTCAGCAACAATCAGGGGTTGTTGCCTGCTCTTGTTTGCTCTAAATAGGTGAAAATTATCGTCTGTAACAGGGAAGCCACATTAAAATTTATAATGCTGAAAAGGGGTGGAAGCTTCAGAAGAATATTGTTGCCAAAAGCTTGCGCTGGACAGTAACTGATACGTCTCTTTCACCAGATAAACGTTTCTTGGTGAGTTTCCCCCTCAAAGTGATGAAAAATCCGATTCTAAGTTGTAGTATAGACATGTGTTAACTATCTTTCCTATTTCTTGCTGTTTGATCGCAATCTCATTGACACTATATAAGGTACTTGCCAAGTAAAGAAGAAGTCTATTGGTCAACAATTTAATGAGCTTAATGGGACCTCACAACTTATTCGGTCAGCTATACATGACTATTTTGTAGTGGCTTAATGATATGGAAAGTGGCTTATTCAGTAAGCTTCTAAGAAGGAGCTTTATGCAGAAAGTCAAGCTTTTTCCAAACCTGCCCGTCCCAATTAAAAAACAAGCTCCTTCCATTTATGAAAAAACTCTCTCAAACAAAAAATTTCCAATCTATAAAGATAGATTAATCCACACAGACAACTTTATTCATACAAGACTTAATGGAAAACCAACCAAACAACCCCTTATTTGGTAGGCTTCTAGGGAAGCTTTATGCAGGATGCCAAGTTTTTTCCAAACCTGCTCCTTCCAATTAAAAAACACACTCCTTTCATATTTGAAAAACCCTCCCAAACAAAAACGCTCGCAATCTATACAAATAGATTAATCCATACAGACAACTTTATCCATATAGGACGTAATGGATACGAACCAAACTGCCCCATAGGGTTTGATGTCTATGAAGTGATTACTAATTTCCTTTCAACATTTAACGGATTAATAAAAGCAGTTTGTTTTTATTTATTAGTTCGAGCTATTCGTTAAGATATAAGTATCTTATTGCTACTTGCAGGTTTATGCCACTATGTCTCCTATTGTCAACATTGTTAATATTGGATCTGCTGCAACAGAGTCTCATGCAAATGTCACGGTATGAGCTACATTTATCTTGTTTCTAGTACACACATGTTGTATCATGTATGCCCGTAATAGAAACTTATTTATGCTCTTTGTTTAATCAAGATCTCCATTCATGTCTTCTTATAAATAGTTAGTGATCAAAGGTGCATAAAAAGAGAAACCTTGTCCCACATAGCTAGTTTACAGAACTAGGGGCGGGGGCGGACCCGGGCCACTGCTTTGTTCCTCCGTCACATTGTAAAAATTTATAGGGTCGTGAAAAGTGCCACCGTGCCATTTTGTTTTGTGCAACCATATATATTTGGAAACTACAATTGTGAAACAAGTTTCCTTTGGTAGAGTTGGTTTGCATGACTTTCTCCCAGCCCAGACCCGGGTTCGAATCTCGTTTGTGTGTTATTTTCCTTAAGTTTTTAGCTTTTATTTTCAGATTTATTATGTTTCTGAAATTTTTTGCAACAAAAGACTCTCAGGACCTCACATATGAAAAGCAAAGAACTAACTAATAGGCCAATGACGATTTTGTGAAAAATTATCCATATATTTGTTTCTTGTAGTCAAATGGTGCCACCACTTGAAAATTTTTCTAGGTCCGGACTAAGGGCTGGGTCTAATAAGAAGGCTAAATATCGTGAGAAGGTAAGAAGGGAAGGATAATAAGCGAATCAACGAAAAGATCTGGAAAAAATCTATTTGAAGAAGATTTTTCATATAGGTTCACATATGCATCTTCAAGTAGATTTTTTCAATGATTCACATATGAACCTTCCCTTCTTACCTTCTCACGATATTTAGCCTTCTTATTTGAACTGACCCCTAAATAGGTATTTTTCCAATCATTTACAGGTTCATTCTTCTATTCGCTTTAACATGCTAAACAAGTTCTAATGTATACTTGAGGGATATTACGGAATTGTTGTCTGTAATATCAGTTTGGTTTTGTTAAATCCTCGAGGAATGCTGCCGTTTCTACATTAATTTTTGATACGTCTCGGCCCGACCCGCACTGGGGTCGGATATATCAGCTTCGCAAAAGAGAGGCAGGAAACAAGTAGAGGGGGGCTKTTTGCAATTTACTTATTCTTAATTATCTTAATTAGTTGATTAGGATAGATATTAATTAGTTTATTAGGATAAATATGTTTTCCTATTTTTTAGGATTAGGGTATATTTTTTAGGATTAGGGTACGGCTTTATTTAAGGGACCGGCCACCCCATTGTTTGGATTCATTTCTAGTATTTTGATTCTTGTCGTAGACATTGGAGATTACTGGGTCTCGAATTCCAGGGTTTATTTTAATAAGCATCYGATTAGTGGTACTTTTGSCCGCTAATCTTGATTTTGCCAATTGATTCGTATCAAATTGGTATCAGAGMATCGATCTTGCGCCTGTGATTTTATCCACGCTACCATGACCAAGATTCAGGATCTTGAAGCTGAGTTGACCCAACAGAAGGCTGCCGTCGAACAGTTCCGCGCTGAGACGACGGAGCGGTTCGAAAACTTGGAGACCACCGTGGAATCGTTGCGCACTGAAATGGAGAAGCGACATGCAGAGATGATGAAGGTCATGTTGCAACAGTTCCAGGCGTTAAAGCCACCACCGCCGACAGCAGCCGTGCCATCGCCAATCTTCACCGATTGCACCACACGGCCCATAATGCAGCAATCGAATCCGATTTTTGATGAGAATGGGGCGCCCCTGCCGCCTTGGCATGCAACCAGCAGTACGGCCAGGGAACCGAACAGGCCCATCGGCACTCAGGAAATTCCTTTTCCGGAGTCAGGTATGTTTGCTTTTTCTGAGACTAAAAGGCCGTTTGGCAGCGGGTATGGAAGGGGCTCAGGACCTTCGGGGGAACGGGGGTGGGTGCCGGGGGCGGACTACCGTCTTTGTAAGCTGAAGATGCCGTTGTTCGATGGAACTGATGCATATGGGTGGGTGTACCTCATGGAAAGATTTTTCGACGTTCAGGGATTTGTTACTACGGGGGAGAAGTTGAAAGATGCGGTGTTGGGGTTGGAGGGACAGGCCCTTGCATGGTACTGATGGAGTGATGATAGGCATCCTTTTCGTCACTGGGAAGGATTAAAAAACCGGTTGTTGGCTCGGTTCTAGTCATCTCAGGAAGGGGACCTATACGAACAATTTTTGGCAATTAAACAGGAAGGGTCGGCACGCGAGTATATAGGGAAATTTGAAATAGTATCGGCACAGCTAAGGGGTATTCCTGAGAAGATTATGCAGGGTACATTCCTAAAAGGGTTGAAACCGGAGCTACGAACTTCCGTGAGGTTGCTTCAACCAATGGACTTAGACCAGGCGATCCAACTAGCTCTGATGGTGGATGAAAATAAAACTATCAGCAACGGGAACGTGGAAAAAGGGGAAAACAAAAGTCAGCCAGTGCGGACCGGAGTGGGGGGCTCACGGCCGCCGGCCGCCCCACCAACGGGAACCCAACGACCGACAACAGGGGGTAACGAGCAAACCGTTTAAACGGATGACAGACTCGGAACTGGCGGATAAACGGGCTAAGGGTTATGTTTTCGATGCGATGGGAAGTTCACACCCGGACACCGTTGCCCCGAGAAATCCCTGCGGATCATGTTAATGGATGATGAAGATGACGAGGGGGAAGAGATAACACCGGAAACTCACGCGCACTTGGATGCGAGGGAGGTGTCAGTACACTCAGGTGGTGGAGCAGTTCCCTGGCTTTCACCTTGAGGACAAGGTGAATTTTCGAGGCGGGGGTAATGATACGTCTCAGCCCGACCCACACTGGGGTCGGATATATCAGCTTCGCAAAAGAGAGGCAGGAAACAAGTAGAGGGGGGCT